TGAAATAGGCCTTGAAAACGGCCATAAATTGTGTTTCAAAGACCAGTAACGTAGTGGATTTACCAAGTGATGACTCAGGTGCGCCTAAAGTTGCAAGCAAATAGAAGTGCAAGCAAGTCTGAGGTATGTTTTCACTTGAAGCAAGGAAGCTTCTTGAAGACCTCCTAAGAAATCCTGCAAGCTTGTTTCCGACTGTGGACACAGCAGCACTTGCTATGGCGGGAGGCTACGTGGCCCATGTCATAGAAGAAAAGATAGCTTGAGGTTCTTGCATTTCAGTTGTCCCAAAGCCAGCATCTTCCTCCCCTACTGGCTGATTAGGCACCAAGAGAGAAGTCGGCTACTGTACCCCTCAAGTGAGCTTGTTAATGTTTTATATGCTTTAAAGAAGTACACTGAACTCATCCTGAGCAAATGCAGAGCAGTGTCAAGACCTCTGCAGGAAACAATCAGCAATGTTGTTTCTGCTATGCCAAGCAATGACGTTTTTGGCAAGCTCGCACTGAGCACCATTTGTAATTCTTGAAGCTTGTTTGCATGAAGTTTTTCAAGCCTGTGTTCACCAACTATGCCGTAGGTATGGCCCGCCGCGGTGGTCTAGTGGCTAAGGTACTCGGCTGCTGACCCGCAGGGCGCGGGTTCGAATCCCGGCTGCGGCGGCTGCATTTTCGATGGAGGCGGAAATGTTGTAGGCCCGTGTGCTCAGATTTGGGTGCACGTTAAAGAACCCCAGGTGGTCTAAATTTCCGTAGCCCTCCACTACGGCGTCTCTCATAATCATAGAGTGGTTTTGGGACGTTAAACCGCACATATCAATCATCATTATGCCGTAGGTATGACTGCAAACCATGATGTGAGGAAGGCACTTCGCTACAAGCCGTTGTCAAGCAAAGTTCGGAAACTAAATTGTGTTGCAGTAGCTGCTTGACTGTAGTATTGTCTCATTGATGTCAAACTTTAAAAGGTGTTGTGGCACCTGCTCGCGAGGAAAATACTGAAACTGTGAATTGTGTTATTGCAGCTGCTTGACTGTAGTATATTTCATTGCTTCTTGAAACTGTAAATTACATTGTTGCAGCTACTTCACTGTCACTGAGTGTTTTTCATTGCTGCTTGGAACTGTAATTTTTTGTTGTTGCAGCTGCTTAACGCCACTATTTTTCATTGCTGTTTGAAACTGTTAGTTGCGTTGTTGCAGTGGCTTGACGGTAGTATTTTTCATTGCTATTTGAATCCATAAATTTTGTTGTTTCGGCTGGTCGACTTACTATTTTTTATTGCTTTTTGGAATTTACTACTGCACATACTGATCGCCAAAATGTCAACAAAATAAACATTGGTGCCAACAACAAGGCAACAGGTGTTGCTACTTCTGGGTTTTCGCTGTGAAATCTCGATGAGTACGTGACGTATGCCGTATAGTAAGACTCCAGGTTAGTTTTGATCAAAGTTTATTGTTTAACCATGGCCTTCGAGATTGCCTGCTGGCGGGAAACCTGCCGGTGCGCTAGAGTACGCAACTTATTTTGCACTTCAAGTTCATCAAATCAAAATGCTACTTTGTGGCCGCGAATCCAACCCACTGCTTCGTCCTGCGCAACATAACGCCGCAAAGGGCTAAAGTAAAGAACCATCGAGTATTGCTCTCATGTCGCTTTCTCATAGATTTTTTCAAGAGATGAGGGAGCTGCAAGTATTGTGGGTTCACCTATGAAACGCTGTGGAACTAAGGTTTTATATTCTTGAAGCACCAGCTTGGTGTGAATACCACGCAGGGCGCACACACAAGACGAGATGCACAGTTCACATTCATACACCTATGTCTACCTAAATATTGCATTTTTACTCACATTCATACTTACTATTGATGGAAATGTTGTCTGTGATTAATAAAACAGTGCGTTTTCACTTTACGTTGAAGATATTTATGCTTCTTGCGAAGATCGCAACGTAAGCGGCGAGACTACACGTCTTCTGCACTAGATGGATGCATCCGGCGGCGGCTGTGCCCTTTAGATCGGGTGGTGGCTTACGCCACCTAGCCATCAAGTTAAGTACTATCACTATATGTTTAAGGATTGAATTTCTGTCGCACCTTGATTATAGCCACCAATCAGTTCGCCTCCTCCTGATTATTTTTACCCATTTAAAGTCAATTTTGCCTTCAATGTCCCTAAACCCCAATGGTTTGAGAAATTTGGCGCCATTATCTTGGACCATAGGGTGGAGCCCTTTACAGAACAATATCAAATGTTCAGCCATTTCCTCCTCTTCTCCACACGCACTACATATCGGGTCTGTGCCTTCGTATTTTGCTCGGTACGTCTTGGTCCGCAGTACTCCCGTTCTAGCCTCGATGAGCAGAGAACTACCCCGAGAATTATCGTAGACTTTCACCCTTGCAATTCACCGCTTAAAAGTTTCGTAGGTCTCCAGTGATGATTTTGTAAGTATTCCCGTATTCCACATGTCCCTCTCTGTTTCCTTCACCTTCTTCTTAACTGATGTTTCCTTTTGGCTTGGTATTTTGCTGTTGTCTAAATACTTGCTTGACAATTTTCGAGTTCGTTTCCTCACTTTATTATCGACATTCTTTACGTACAAAATACTTTTTTAGCCCAACACTTCTCTCCTAATTTTCTCAATCCCTCCTCGAATTTTATCTTAATGCTAGCTTCCCTGCACTCGTACGATGTCTATTCCTTGTCACCCTGTACCCCCTGATTTGGGGTATTTCCGTGTGCTCCCAAAGCAAGTCTACCTATGCCACGTTGTTTAATTTCCAATCTTGCTTGAACTTCTGAATTCATGCACAAGACCGTATTGCCGAACGTCAGACCAGGGACCATGATACCTTTCCAAATCCCTCTCACAAAGTCGTTCTATTGTAGTTTCATAGTGTCCTATTTTTTATTACAGCTGCATTCCTCGTGCCCTTAGTCATCACGTATCTTTTGTGCTCCCTTAGATACTCAGCCCCGTTATTTATCCATATGCCCAAGTATTTGTATTTATCCATTATTTCTAGCACGACTTCCTGTATAATATGTTCACTGCCTTTGTTATCATTAAAAATCATGATTGCCGATTTTTCCCTGCTGAACTTCAAATTTAACCTATCTCCCTCATTAGGACAGATGTCTATCAATCCCTGCAGATCTTCCTTGTTGTCGGCTATTAATACTGTATCAACTGCCTACATCAATGCTGGTAATGACCGTTCAATGTGTTTTCCTTGCTTGGCAAAAGAGAGGCTGAATCCGAGTCGTCTGCCCTCCAATTTAGCTTCTAGTCCCTGGAGATACAGCATGAATAACAAAGGTGACAAGGGACATCCCTGTCGAAGTCCGCGTTGTATCTGTATAGGTTTAGATACCCGTTCTTCCCATTTGATACCTACCTTGTTGCTTTTAAGATGTCATTAAGAAGATTAAGTTATTCCATCTTCCACATCTAGTGTGTCCAGTATTCCCCACAAGTCTTCTTATGGTAAGCTCCCTTGATATCTAGAAATGCCAGCCACAGGGGCCTGTGTTTTTTTCTCGCTATTTTAATACACTGCATCAATGAAAACAGATTGTCCTCCAACCTCCTTCGTTGACGGAACCCATTTCGTAGTTCTCCCAGCACACCCTCATTCTCCACCCATGTCTGCAGTCTTTTCTTTACTATCTGCATCACCAGCCTGCAAACTACTGATGTGTCTGTTATAGGACGGTAGTTGTTTATATCGGCTTTGTCCCCCTTTCCTTTATAGATCGTGCTCATCCTGCTTAGTTTCTACCCATTGGGAGCTTCAACATACATTATTGCTTTGCTCGCTGCATCTCTTTATGTTTGCTTAGAGCTTGGTCCTAGTTTCTTTCAGAGGGCTGCAAGCGCCCTCTGTCGGTTCAGTACTCAGGGCTACAGGCGCCCTCTATCGGCTCAGCGTAAACTACGTGCACAACGGCGCGACAGAACGAAAAGTGCTGAGATCAAGAACGTACAGAAAGTAGAAGGTTATTAACCGGGCATACAAGTGAAAGGCGTTTACTCTGATTGATTGATTGATTGATTGATTGATTGATATGTGGGGTTTAACGTCCCAAAACCACCATATGATTATGAGAGACGCCGTAGTGGAGGGCTCCGGAAATTTCGACCACCTGGGGTTCTTTAACGTGCGCCCAAATCTGAGTACACGGGCCTACAGCATTTCCGCCTCCATCGGAAATGCAGCCGCCGCAGCCGGGATTCGAACCCGCGACGTGTGGGTCAGCAGCCGAGTACCTTAGCCACTAGACCACCGCGGCGGGGCAAAGGCGTTTACTCTACTGGTATATAAAAAGATCTATAAAACCGAGAAAAAATAGGAAAAACCACGCAGAGGATTACAGAAATTGGTTAATTGAAAATCGGGCACCAAAAATCATATATACCTGAAAAAAAAGAGCAGGTTGGAAAAATCGACAACTGTTTTTGTCCAGCAAAAGCCCACATGAACATACGCGTAAAATTGCAGTATAGAACTATACAGCATGTGAGTTTTCAGAATATCTGAACAACACACGTGAATCACGTGGTCATTATTGTAAAATATTACATATTCTACGAAGCTACGCACTTTTTACTACGCAGCCAAAATGCTACCAGCAACTTTCAGAGAGTCTCTGCTGCTCAGGACAAGAAATAGGTTGCAACAAGTACTTCTTTTGAGTCGATATGATGCTTCCCATTCGGTCCCGCGCACAAGCCCCCCTTTACGTCCTCGTCATGTGTAGAAGAGAAGCGCTTGATGTACTCAAGCATGCGTGATGCATTTCCAAAAGAAGCTTTGTACAGGACCACGTAGAAGCTTGCTGGTTGTTCAACCACTTTCTCTGAATGTATACGCACAGCCATTAAGGTATAGGTACAGCAATGGATCGTTTTATTTACTTCATGGCTCACTACAGTAAGAATAGGAGCAGCAGAAATAAGAACCTCCCCATCACACAGTCAAAGCTGACACTGTATTAGAATAATTAGGACAGAAAATAAACTTTTATTTGGGCAAGCCAGTTGGGTGACATCATTACGGCATGTAAATAGAAGCACTTGATTTACCCACTCAGTGCTATAGAGCGTCGCTTCGGACTTCTCCAGCGGCGCGCTTCCATCCGTCAGGCACCTCGTGGGCCATTATAGCACAGTGAATGTCATGACATGCACCAGTCATGGTAGGCACGAACATCTAGCAGCTTTATGTTGAATTCCAATGGCAGATCGTGAGCGCTGAGCTGGATTGCGAATGGAGCCCGCAGATCCGAGCAGGATTGCTCTCGCCAAATCTGCGATCTGAACGTGCGCGTCTCGACGGGAGCTGTTGGTGAGCGTAAATCTAGCGAGGGAGCACGAGAGGGTGCGAGGGAGGGCAAAGCATTTTCCGGACATCCATCGGTGATTGGATGAAAAGCGGGCGCACAGAATACGTCACATGAACTTCCGGTCAAATCCGCCGATTTCAGCAGAGCAAGAATTTTTGCTCTACGAAGCAATCCGTGATCTGCGGTTGCTCTTAATCTGACATTGGAACACACAATTCACGCTTCCGATCCGCCATCGGAATGTGATTGCTGCGCTCAGAGCAGAAAAACTTGATCTGGATCTGCCATTGGAATTCAACATTAGTGCATTGCAGTATCATACGCAGTGGCGCTGTCACTCAGTAATCACTGTCGCAGGAAGGAGGATTGACGTATCCCAACACGTTCAGTTCGTGGAGGGAGGCTATCACCATAAACGCCAGGTACCAGCCCATCAGGATGGCACCGTAGATCTTGTTCATCCGCCACTTGTTGAAATGCGTGAGCACCAGTAGAAAGACAATGGTTGACAGAAGACAGGCTGTAGAGTAGGCCAACCCTGCGAAATCGTGTATATGCATCTCGTACAAGGCAATCTTCCAAGAATCGTTTTGTTAAAGTAGGACCTAAGCTGAGCAGTTAATGCGAACGCAATGCATGCAGTTGGGCCAAGCGACTTCTTCCTCATTTATTTTATGCTTACAGACTCAAAAACAAGCAGCTAGGCAAAATGGGAGCACCTTACTGCAACTCTCTTCTTGTGACGTGTGTGCTACTAAAAAAATTACAGGACCCAAGAGTGTGAAAGCTTCCTTTGCGATGTTTTTAAAGGTAACTTTTAGCTTTGCGTCTTTCGGTGCCGAAATCGAGTCTCATATGCTCTAACATATTATATAAATAATGGTAGTGTCGTTAATTCAAAATGATTTTGCGTGAGTTTGAAACATCCGCCTACATGGATGTGCATGGATGAATGTATCCGGCTGTGCCCTATAGATTGGGCGGCGGCTCGCGCCACCTAGCCATGAAGTTAAGTACTATTATTATGTGTTGAAGGGTTGAGTTTCACTCGTGCTTTGATTGTCGCTACCAATCAGTTAGCCTCCTCCTGGTTATTTCTACTCGTTTAATGTCTATTTTGCCTTCACTGTCTCCAAGCCCCAGTGTTTTGAAAAATTTGGTGCCGTTATCTTGGATTATAGGGTGGAGCCCTTTACAGACCATTATCAAATGTTCAGCCGTTTCCTTCACTTCCCATACGAAAAGAAACTAGCGCCTCATTGCGGGCAGCCCCTGAGACTACGCGCGCTTGTTTCAGAGACGCTAAACGCGCCGTTTTCAAATAGAGTGATAGTGGGAACCACGGGTGGTGAAGAATGCAGCAAAGTGGGTGTTTTGAGCTTGTTCCCCTCAGAAAAAAAGAAAAGCATTCCTGGCGTAAGCAGCCAAGAGACCAACGACCTTTTGAGCAGCTAACAGAGCAAGTAAGGTGAAAAGCAATAGTAATCGCTGGGTGCCAGCTGGAGAATTGTGCGCACCCCACAAATGTTCTCTGACACCGACAATACTTCTTTGACCTCTTCAATGTCAAGAGGGGCCCCTGTTTAAGTCAAACCACAGAAATTGTTGATTGAACCTGAATACTCGCTGGGAATCGCCCTTATTTGTTAAACTAAATTCAAATATTTTTAGGTAACGCTCATTACTAATAATTAGTCAGAAGTGGCCTCTCGTACAGGGCTATCAAACAACACTTGTGTTGTTTGATAGCATCTCGAGCTTCTGAATTTAGTGTCAGGAATCGTTTCAAGTTTCTTTACTTTATTTATAAGTTTCGCTTATTTGATTAAAACGTATCGGTAGCTTTACTTCGAGTGTTTCAAATGTGGGTCGTGTGGAAATGGCAGCGCCGTTTATAAATTTCGCTAATTTAACTAATCCATGTCAGTAGTTTTATTTCGAGTGTTTCAAATGCGAGTCGTGTGGAAATGCCAGTGGCATATTAAGTCTATGCTGCCATTTCATTTATGACAAGGAAAAAAAGCAGCAGTAGATGTCGCTTATGCCGGGCTTTTTGCTTGGAGTCATGATCTACGTGATCGCGAAAGTTCAGTGGTTGTGCACATGTTCACAGGTATGTTGACTACAGTGGCGTGTAATGTTATAGCTCATACATAGTCGGAATTTGCGGAGAAATTGAGCAACGCTTCACCGTAACAGGTGGTGTCTATGTATACTGTATAGAAACAAAAGCATACAACCAACACCCATGATTGGTGTTGTCCCCACATAACTCTGTTACCTCTCGTAGTAGCTTGACTGCCGTGTAGATAACAGCCGGTATTCGATTCCGGCTAAATTTGTGATTTCACTCGATTGTGCGCTCCGTAATGCTGTTACGTACGTTGACATTCCCAATCTCATTTCGCTGTCAATTGGTTGATAGAGACTGCGAGCCACCTATGTGTTAGTCGCGTATGTGCCAGATATGAATGGTTTCATGACGACTGCGTAATAGCGTTATTCATGTATGACCTGTGCTCGCCACTCACGCTCTCCCATGCCAATTTTGGACCAAGTTAAAGAGACAACCACAAGATTGTGCAGACGTAGCTGGCTAGATAGAAACGGCCGTACTTGGTAGGCCAAAAAAAGGTTAGCATAAAAAACAAACTCAGCGGGTGTTCAAGTTTCCCAACACAAGAAGGCCTGGCTCAACTCACGCAAGATAAATGAGTGAATGGCCAAGAAACATTTCTCGCATGCATTTCTTTTTGTATTCTTCAAGTGTGTACGCACAACGCTCCTCGGCACCTATACAGCTGCACAGTGTCTTTAGGCTGACGATGAAGTATGGTTGAGCCCTGTGCAATAGATGTCACTCGACTCACTCGTCACACAGTTCCATGGTGCCCAGCAGAATTCAATCTGTTAACGGCACTCCTCACCCGACACGGCGCCTGTAAAGGGTCTTTCTCCGCAGCTGTTAACGCGTTCGTTTCGCAGAAATTCCGCCAGTGGCGCCGGTGTCGTTGGTTTTGAGCGGAAAATCATCTTATGCGTGACAAAAAAAAATCGAGAACGATGCGAGTAAAATAAGCAATAAAAAATTCTGGGTCAGAATGAGAATCGAACCTGGGTCGTTTTGGTTCAAGGGGCATCGAACCCGCGTCGTTTGCGTTGTAAGCGGATGTTCTACCCCACAGCCACGCTTCAGCTTTTCTTTTTTATGATATTTAATACAGATTTAGCGTTATCAACGCAGAATGAAGCAAACAAAACTACAATCACAAGGCGACAATAAGCGCTCAAACGTTGCCATTAAACACTCAATGGCTAACACAGCGTGAGTTCTTCAAATAAAGAGTTCTTCGCACCGTGTTATACAAACAAAACAGAGCCGAGGCGGAACACCTCACCAAGACGGAGTGCCAGTCCGCTCTAAATTCTAGGTCATCGTAAATGTCTTTGAGGTGAATAGCCATTTGAATGAATTGTGAGCTTGAAAAGGTGGTGGGTTACGCATTGCGTCCTGCATACGCGTCTTCCATAAGCTGTGGATTCCCATGAGGATAAACATATGGCACTTCATCAAGCAATGCTGGTAGAAAATAACGTATGTAGTGAGAATTCACGACGAAAGATTTTTTTTGATGTGCAGTGAAGGACCTCCCAAATAAGAATGGCATTTTTGCAGCTAACAAAGCAATGTTCCATCGTTCCTGGCCCATTTCATTGACGGCAGTTAACAGATGGAACAAAAATACCTGTTCTCTTTAACCATGTTTTTACCGACAATGTTTCAGGGTGGAGTTAACCGAAGGATGTGCTCGATTTCGGTGGAATGTACATTTTTTGCACTCATTTCAACACGCCGTGGCCTGAAATATTAGAGTACAATGAACGGTACAACGAAGGGAAGGTAATACTTAGTAGATTCTTATGCGGCGCCTTGCGCGATGCAACCCCGCTGCTGCTTAAGAATGCAGTGCACACAACTTCCTCTGCTTGGATATGCAGTGAATGTAACTGTCATGCTTCACCAACACACGCGTCCTGTGTGCATGCTTCACAGTACACCATGAACTATCGCAGTATTAATGCGTGGTGCAAACGTACAACGCCATAGGGCGTCAGAACATGTGATTATCACAATCACTTCAATGTTTTAAGCTGGTTGCCCAACACAAAAGGCATACACGTTACTTCGCCTATTCCCCTTAAAGCTACGTAGTGGGTGCATGGCAAGTTCCAACAGATTTTATGCACTAAGTGTTTGAAATGCGCACTAGAGACGGGATATCGCTATGGCGTTGAACTCTTAAAGGCAAAGCTTAAGGGTCCCGCAGTTTTCGCAAACACTGCTGGCCTGCAGCTCTGGGGAAGAACACCGGCGGACTGCCATGATAACTGCCATACTTACTGGTTCGGTACGATTTCGGCTATATCCACGCATTAGTTTTTCGTTTGAGGGGCCACGGGAGTTCCTGCATCGCACGCTGGGTCTCTCATGGTCAGCGCCTTATGGGGAACTTGAGATTTTAGCCTTGATGAAGCACTCAATTATCCGTAATTTCTCTTTTCAAATATCTAAAATATCTGGGTTTTCGAATCCCCAAACCACGATGTGATTACGAGAGACGCCATAATGGATGGCTCTGAAAATTCGGATGGTCTGGTGGATTATTTAACGTGCCCTGACATCGTATACAGTCTACACGTGTCTCTACGGCATTTCGTCTCCATCGAAGTGCGACCGCCCCGACCGGTATCCAACCTACGGCCGTCGGATCAGCAACCGAGCACCGTACGTAATCCTTGATTTTTTGATTAGTGGGTTAGACACTGAGTCTTTTTGGCGGTTTTCTCATGTATATCGAAAGAGTCCAGTTGCACGTGCGTGCCTTGACAGCAGTTTACAAGTCTTCTACGATGTGCCTCCTAGTGCGACAAGCTGGACAACATAGGTTCTGCTTCATCGGAAGGCTCATTGCATACAGCGTTTTCCAACGGTGTTGCGCTTTCAACTACACTACCTGTTTCCCACCTGAAAATAACACTGAGTTTACTTAGCATTACGTAATTCTAAAGCGTCGGACACATTACATAACTTATTCCACAGATTTCTTTTCTTATAGCTGTCGCTTTGTGACCGCAACAGCGTTTCATTCACCAAAACAAAGCCATAAATACGACCAGAAACATGGACGTCTTCATGTTAATTTAGTTATTATATTTCCATTGTTCAGTCCTTGGCGGAATCAGCGACATATATTATATCACTACACGCTTTTATGAGGAAATCGTATTTAACATTGTTCGTTCGTGGCAGTCTCGTACAGCCGCCAACACTGAACACGTATTCAAAGGTAGAAAGGATTAATTTACCGTCATGAAGAGTTGTATGAAGGTTGTCACGTACCACGAAGCTTGACGAGAAGCTGCCCAAACGTCTAGCTGACCACATGATCAGCTCATTATTTCATCGGATAGATAAACTGAACTCAATTTTTATTTGTCGGGATGGCTCACATGTCACTGAGCTGTTGGTAATTCGAT